CGGTTGGGTGGGAGCCCTCCAGGATTGCTGGGTGGGAGTCCCCCGGGTACGCTGAATGGCAGCCCCCCCACCCTGTTACAGTCTGCCCACGAGGAGCTCAATGGCTCGCTTGACCACCTGGACACCAACGGACACAGTAGCCCTGGATACTCCCCACCAGTACACATGTAAGTGTGCAGGCAGAAGAACTGCTCCTGCAACTGAATTATACTGCATGTATGTTTGTGTAGTGCATACATCACAGCTACACACAAGCATGCATATATAAGATAAATACACATATATTTAGGGTTTTTTTTTAAATCATTTATTGGTGTTTAATATTTACATAAAGTGATTACGTAAAGGATTAATTGAAAATGAAGAGTTTAGAAGTGTCATTTTTAGTTCAAATACTGTATTTAATTTTGTTTGTTTTGTTTTTTTACTAGCAGGGACGCACAAAAAGCATTTTCTTAAGAGTTCTTAATACAAGAGTGTCAGGGTCAGCTCATAAAGCTGCCAATGATGTCACGGGTTGAACTCAATTATAGAGCCAGACGAGGATAAGTGAAACACTGTCTCTTTAATAAGAGCACTGGTAACAAAACGATACAGAAAACTACTCGAAACACAGTATCAGGTCGATAATACGGTCCAGGGTCGAAGCCAACAAACGTACACAGCCGAGGGATCCACAAACGAGAGGTCAGAGAGGGGAGTCCACTATTCAATACACAGAAAAACACGAGCAGAAACAGAGGGCTAGGCTAAACCCGGTGGTCAAACAGTAATCCGGGGTCAGTGCTGGAATCACAGGAACAAGTAAAATGCTGGAAAGTCTGAACAGGACTTAGAACGATCCGGCAGCTTCCCACAGGGTGAGAAGCTGCCTATGTGCTATTGTAGCCAGGTGTGATTAATGAGAAGCAAGTGAAACCAATCTGGGTGATGAGATAAAGTTCCCGGGAGTCGGGGTTAGCTAGGACAGGAAGTAGTATCAAAATAAAAGCATGTGACAGGAAGCAAAGGGGACAGAATCATGAGAAAGAGGACCTTTTACTCTAAAATTTGGTGACAAATGTCTTCGTTTAGTAAGACAACTTTTAGATGCACAGATACATAAAATCTGGTGAACATAGTGCCTTAACACTGAATGGATCTGCTCTCTCATTGGAATATATTACTGTATATGATGCATCAGACTGCCTCTTTAAAGCCTAGAAAGGTTAAATGCAGTGGGTATACACTGAATCATTCATCACCCATTTTTATGTGATAAGTACTTAAGTGAAAATGCAAGCACACATTGAACCCCTCCCACCTCCGCTCCTACACTGAATTCATTCGCTGTCCTTATGCCCTTTGTTAGTTTAATTGCCTGATATTTAACCCACGGTACAAGTATATTCTTCACTTTGCCATGACCCGGGGGCAAGGTTCAATTTCCAGCATGTATTGTATCATAAGCAGGTTATTTCTCTTCCTCTCTCTGCTCTGGTAATGCTTATACCTGTTTTGTTATGTTTGGGATAACAGTTCTAGTTCTATAAATAGACTCTATTACACATTTGTCTTTAATGACACTGCTGTCTGCATTATAAGGATTTAGCTGCTATATTTTATGTAAGACTGTTCCTATTAATATGTAGCAAGTGTAGCATTAATTACATTTAAAAAAAATGTTTTAATGGAGCTGAGAGAGAAAGAGAGCATTTTTAAAAATTGATTTCATTTGAGTTTCAGGAATGTATGAAACAACCTGAGCCAGTGATATCAGTCTGCAGGTCTGCATAAGCTGTCACTGTGGTGAAGACAGCCTGCAGGGGAACACACAAACACAAAGAAATTAGACATTAATGATACTTATCCTTTGTCCGCCAAAGCTCATGTTGCAAAGTCGGCCGACATTAGCTAACCACTCCTGTAATGGATAAAGGATGTGCTACAGCTCCGTGTCTCTCTCCCAGTGTGTTTGGGAGAACAGTAGACTGATTAGCCCTCAAAGATGTATATACATTAATCTATTTAGACATGTTTACCCCTTTCTGAAATGGGCTGTTAAGTCATGCAGATCTGTCCAGCTCTAGACAGAACCCCATTGTTACCGCTCCCTCAGGTCATTTAATTTTCAGTGACAGGACAGCATTGAATTTCTCTTTTCTTCCTCGCCTTCTCTGCTCTCTGGCCACACAGCCTTGACACTGAGATGCCTGGCTATGGAGGATGAGATACATTCATCCATCCCTCCCTACTTCCATCCCTGTCTGCCATAACAACCCCAAAATGGAAGAAATGTGTTTTTCATGACTGGCTTTTCCATGATGTGTTTAAATAATGGAGTGCCTTGTAGCTCTAAACTAAATAGTGCATCACCTTCTCAGGAGAAGACTCTTCTTCACAACCAGGTCAATCCAGCAATTAGACAAAACTCTCCTTCCCCTCCACATCTAAAGGTTAATGCTATCTGCTTAACTGCAAACCAGATCACCCCAGAACATGCTGAGGGTGTGTGTGTGTGTGTGTGTGTGTGTACACCCTAAGGGCTATGATTAAAAGGAGCAGTACTGTATACAAGAATAGTACCACTATATAAAATAGAAGTTTAGACTTGAGCAAATTAGCAATCTGACATAAAATGAAAAGGACCAGAGTAGAACCTTCATCATGCACTCATATAAAAGCAATTTATTGTCACTTTGTTTTATCAGCACTGTCCTGTTCTGTCACTTCTAATTGTTTGGTGACCACCTCTTTCTGGTGGTGTTAATTAATGAATTATAGTGAGATGTTATGCATGTCCTCACCCTTTTCATCACCTCACCCTCCTGCTCCCACCCCTCTTTTGCTCCTGACTCCTCACTACACCACCTCTCCTGTCCCCCAACCTACCATTAGGCCTGCAGACTAATGACCTTATTTGCATCCATGACATACCTCTGCATGATTGCTGCTGCTAATCTTCAGTTGATGTGAGAGCAGGCATCTCGAGAACACACACATACACATGGAGCGTCATGTATTTATTACACCGCAAAGTCCAGCATTTACTCCTGAGTGACTCAGTAATGGCATAGCCATTAAGTACTAAATGGCTCATCTATATTTTTAATAAATTGTTAGAAAGCTCAAGCCTGTGAATATGGTTCTGCATATTTTCTCCAAAGCTACACAAACACCCAAATACGCTGCATGTTAAACAGAGAACATGGGAACCGGGGTTTGTGATACATCTCACATTCAAATGATCAGTGCAGTGCATTGAAACATAGCCATTTTTAAGTACTAGTGACTAAATGATGATCAGGATCTTTTTAGAAAATCCTAATGTGACACAGGGCGGCTGTGGCTCAGGAGGTAGAGCGGGTCGTTTCCTAACCGGAGGATTAGCGGTTCGATTCCCGGCTTGTCCAGTCAACATGTCGAGGTGTCCTTGAGTAAGACACTGAACCCCTAGGTGCTCCCAGTGATGTCACCGGTGTGTGAGTGCTTGGGAGTGCGCATGGGTGAATGGCCGAATAATGTGAAAGCGCTTTGAGTGTGCTGTAAAAGCATAGAAAGGCGCTATACAAGTATAAGACCATTTACAACATTGTTTTTTGTTTGTTTAGCTTTTTTTTTTTTTTTTTACACTTTTTAAAATGAGGCATTCTTGAATCATCCTCATGGAATCAGATAAAAGTGTTTATTAATGCAGTTGCCAACAACAACAAATCCTCCTGTTGATATTGTTGTATAAAAAGGTGTGTCAGTGAAACAGCTAATAAAAAATATGTCTTTGTAGGAGAAATTACAGTTAGTTGTACCTGCATACAAGTACATTAGAGTATTTGTAAACAGGTACCATGTACCTTTAATCACGAGGTTTCTGTCATTTATTCATTTAACAGTCCTTGTTTCATTCATATTTTAAATATGTTTAATACTTTAAATACAATTACAAGAAAAAGTAATGGCACTGCTTGCTTTCGGCATAATTTGCTGCCATTATTTTTTAGACTACAGCAAAAGTTATAGTACTCTTTGAAATGTCCTGTTTTCTGCATAAATTGGTCATGAAATATGATCTGATTTTCGCCAAAGTCACAAACACAACATTTCTAAGATGATAAAACACAGTCATGATCTTTCTTGTCTTTATTGAACACACCCATTAAATAAATACGGTGGTGGTGGAAAATGTAATAGAAACTGCATTAATAACTGGTTTAACCACCTTAGGCAGCAATAACGTCAAGCGAGCGCTTCCTGTAGCTGTGGATTAGACCTGCACAACATTCAGGAGGAATTTTGGACCGTTCTTCTGGACAGAGCTGCTTCAGCTCAGCCACGTTCTTAGGACGTCTGGTGTGAACGGCGCTATTGAGCTCATTCCATAGCATCTCTATTGGGGTGAGGTCTAGGCTCTGACTGGGCCGCTCCAAAAGGCAGATTCTGTGTCTCTGAAGCCATTCTGTAGTACATTTACTTCAGTGCTTAAGGTCATTGTCCTGCTGCATCACCCAGCTTGTTCTGAGCTTCAGCTTGTAGACAGCCACCCTGACATTATCCTGTAGGAAACCCTGACAAACATGGGAATTAATTTTCCCCTCCACAGCGGTCAGTGGTCCAGAGACAGCAAAGCAGCCCAAACAATTCGACCTTTGTTTCATCTGCCCACAGGACTTTTTCTTAGTAATGTTGTGGAGTGTTATGGTGGCCTTTGGCAAACTTCAGGCGTGCTGCAATATTGTTTTTGGAGAGCAATGGCTTCCTCCGCGGTGTCCTGCCATGGATACCATGCCCATTCAATATTTTACATGTGGTTGAATCATGGACAGAGATGTTAACCAATTCCAGTGAATCCATCAAGTGTTTAGCTGTTACTCTAGGGTTCTTTTTTTAACCTCATTAGCATTCTGTATTGTGCCTTTGGAGTGATCTTGGGTGGGCGCCCACTTCTATGGAGAGTAGCCACAGTGCCAAACCGTCTCCATTTATGGACAGTATGTCTAACTGTGGACTGATGACTATCTAAAGTCTTTGAGATGACTCTGTAACCATTTCCAGCTATATGCAAATCAGCAACTCTTGATCATAGGTCTTCTGAGATCTCTTTTTTCATGAAGCATGGCTCACATCAGCTGACGCTGCTTGTGAATAGCACATTGACACTGTCAGCAGATAATGTTTGGCAGATTGAATCTCACACCTCCCTTGATAGCTAACATTTAAGAATTGAAATGTCTTTATCATGCTGCATTCCATGAAACAATAACATCATTTAGTTTATGTCCTTAGTCCTCAGTAATCTATATTTCTGTAACTTCTGATGGAGGCATTCTTCTTTTGCCTCTCACTGCCTTAAATTTGATGGGCAGAAACAGAAATATTTATTGTTCCACTTGCATCCATCTACAGTAAGATCCTCCTCCACTCTTCATATCCACCACATCAGAATATTAATTTACAGTATTTTGCTCTGAATACTAAAATCATGTGTACCTTTTAAAATTCGTTCAAATTTAAAGCCCCCCTGTCTTTCCCCCTTTCCACTGATGAAGGCAGCCGAGGAGAGAGGCTGTGAGACACCTCCTAACATACTACCACTTGATAAGTCTCCCTCTCTCTCCTCCAGTCTCCTTTTTAAAGGCTAGGGGGATTTTCTGATACATCGGATGTGCCAGAAATA